TACAAACAATATAGGGTATTCAAAGCAAACAAAACTAAAACTCTTCACTCACAAAGCGCTTAGCCGAAAATTTAAGCCTTATAGTTGCAAGCCGAAATATAATAGAGCGCATAGAAGAACTTAACTGAAGAAGAGAGCAGCGGGTATGCTCTAAAGCTCGTTAAGCTTGTCAAAACTTTTCCAACATAAAACAGTATCAAAGAACATTAGTTTAGCTTTACAAAAATGCAAACATAATAGAAAAATAAACACTTGATGTTTACTAAATATTTAAATTAAATTTTATCATGCATATATTCTCCAATTAATTATTCATTTTTTAAATATTATTCATAAATTATGAAATATACTATTATTAAATAAAGTTGCCCCGAGCACCCCAAGATACCCTTATTATGAGTTTTAAAACTAAGCGAAAAATTGTCACAAAATGCAGCCAGGCGTACAAATCGCACGGAAAGTTAAAAATGACCAAAGTCCGCACCGGACATAGCTCTTAGCTCGGGTCTCGCTCTGGCACCCGCCCCCGACCTGAGCAACCTTCCAGCCAAGTCAGCTAGCTGCTGGTCAGCTGGTCAGCTAGCTGTCAGCCCGCAGCCCGCAGCCCGCAGCCCGCAGCCCACAGGCCACAACTTAAAGCGTGCCCATTGGCAGTTATGAACGCTTAGAGAAGCGCCCAGCACTTGACATTTAATTAAAAATTTTGCAATTACTGCGAACTCAAAGCGAACGACTCCAGCTCAGCGCGAACCTCAAGCTGTTAGGGAAATGGCGACTGTTTGTTTTGATGCACTGCCAAATGCTAAGGATTTTAGCCTACTTGGCGTCTGATCCGGCCGACACGACACTAATTGCTCCATCCAAGCTGCTAAGTGACCCGAGCAGCCATTGTTCAGCTACAAATCCCAGTGTCTGGCTGTTCGGCAATCGGCATTTTGGCAATTAATTAGTCTCAGTCTCAGTTTCCCTGGCTGACTGTAATGCTGCAACAACTGTCTCTCTCGCTCTCTCTCTCTCTGTCTCCCTCTTCATGCGTGCACCGCCCTTGCACATGTCCCGCAATGTCTTTGGAAATTCCTTTGTATGCGTGCACGTGCCGACAATGTATGCATATTTTGTGGGCGTTTTGTTGTGCGGCTGTGGGCGTGGCATCAAAGTGCATGCAAAATACGTGCCATGCATGCCCGAATCGCGTGCTATTTATTTTTATTACGCTAAGCATCCAAAGTTTTACACATTACTTTTATACTGTGCATAGCAAGTCTCTGTCTTCTTCTTATTTTTCTTTTCTTCTCCCTCTATTTTTTTTTTTTTTTTTTAATGCTGCATAGAGTAGAAAATCGCATAGGTGGCACCCAAGCGACAAGCTGCTTGAAGAGCTGCAGCTACCGGTTACAGCTGCCGGCTCACAGTTTCCCAGTTTCCCAGCTTTCCACTTGCATCCCTGACATGTTTAATAAATGGCAAGAGATGTCAGGAGGCCACATTGTTTGTGTTGCTTAACCTTCAAGAAACTGACTGCAAAACTTTGCCACCATCTCACGCCCTCACTCTCCCTTCCCATTGATATTATAATCTATGAAATATGAGTTCAAGCTTTGCAAAGCAATGTAGCAAATATGCATCTACTTGTGTGTGCGTGGGTGTGCGTGCGTGTGTGTGTGTGTGTGTGTGTGTGTATTGTAACAGGTATGTGGATGAACTTTCAATGGGGCTTTATATAAATTGTTCCTCCACACTGGCAGCATATGTTAGAGTTTCACTTAACTGCATCAATTTACAACTGGCAGCCACTGTTGTTATAAATCGAAGTATTCGGCTTTACATTTCATTTCTTTGCATTCAAAGTGCAGATAAACATAGTTTAATTTCTTAATTTTATTTACGCTTTTCTAATTTCGAATTTCACATATTTAAAATTTAAGTTTTACATTTATGCGAAATTATTTCACATTGGGCTGATTTATTTTTTCTTTTTATTTATTTTATTTATTTTTTATGAGTTTATGGCTTAGGAGACTCAACATGCAATCAAATTATGTACTAAAAAAATATAATAATAAATATATATGTATATGGAATTATAGTATATGTATAAATATACATATTGTGTAAAATTTATAAAATAAAATAATAAAATATAATAATAATGAATACAACTAATTATTAAAATTATATATTATTTTATTGTTGCATTTATTAAAATCTTAAGCTATTCTAGGTAAGATTACCATCTCTTTGTTACCCTCTAACAAAACTTTATATAATTTATATTTATAATTCCCATATGTGAATATATTCACAAAGAGCATTTCAGATCCATCCTAACTCCCTTCGATATTCTGTTGACTTTACTACGAAATGCTCGCCAATTGTGCGGCATTGCTGGCTATGAAAATAAATTATGCATCGAGCCCAACGAGCCATGTACGTGGCAGCTTCACAGGGCTAATTAGCCACTGACGTGGCCAAAAACGAGGAGCCCTAATCAAATTATGACAAAATGCTCTGCATGGAAATTCAGTTACAAATCAAAAATTGATAAAGGAGAGGGGGAAAAAATGCTGGCGCAATTAAAAAGGTCGTGGGTGGAGTGACAAAGTGGCAAGTGGGCAGTGGGCAGTGGGCGTGGCAATGAGAAGCGGTAGAGATAGCCATAGTTTAGCACCTAGCGATGGCTATAAAAATGTGCAATTTTCACAACACATATTTCCCTTTTGGCAAGCAGCCAAACAATGAACCGGGAACAGAAAGCAAAACAAAAAACTGTTATATGAAAACCAAATAGGAAGGCAAAAAATTTGCAGGCCGTAAATAACCGGGGAAGCCAAGTAAACAGCGACTGGCAGCCGCAAAAGCCAAAACTCACTGCGAATGCGAATATTCTTGGAATTTTCATTTGTTGTAGCGCGTTTCGCTTTGCCGAGAAAAGGGCTGCCTCTGGCACGGAGGGCGTGGCAGAGTGAGGGGTGCTCGGTTGGTGTTGGTTACTGGTGTTGAGGTCGCATAGTTAGAAATGTCCCATCCGATGCTGTCAGACCAATTTGTCGCTCTCTCTCTCTCTATGTGTGTGTGTGTGTGCTGGGCATAATGGCCTGACTGCTACTGCTGCATTGTCGCTTCATTTTTGCAGCAAAGTGTGGCAAAATATGTTGACAGGAAATGTTATGCGAATTTCACTGCGTATAAAATGAAATTTACGTGAGTTTTTGGCGCGTGCTCTTCGAGCTGTTGTTGTTGCTGTTGCTGTTGCTGTTGTTATTATGTTTCAGGTTTGCATTTCGGTAATAGAAGTTGCATGTTTAAACTTTAATAGAACAAACATTAGACTGCTCTGTAAGCTGCTCACCTGTTACTTTACAGATATCTGAGGCCAAGTCAAAGAGCACAAATACCTATTGGATATATTTAAAGTGCCAACTAACAAATAAAACAAAAGAAAATATTGTTTATATAATTGCATACGAAAAATTTTCATTATACAAAATGTGATTATTATCAATTGATTTCTGGGCAGCTCAACGTCCAATTAAAAACGCAAACTCGACCATTTCATGAGGCAACAAACAACTCGAAATGCTCTAGATAACTGCTGAAAACTCTATAAATATAAATATATGCGAATATAATGTGAATAAAATGCGCATGTTGATTGCAAACATGATACGCAAACTTTTTTAATATATTTTCATAACTAACTAAAGCTCGAACGAAAGCTCATATTACAGCAGGCTACTCAGTTTTGGTGTTGCAATTAAATCAAAATCAAGTGAAATATTTGACTGCATGAAGTATGCATTGCCCATTGCGATTCCTGTTGCTTGTTTGCTTGCTCAGGTTAAAATAATAATAAACTATTTAATATATTTTGACTAATGAACTTGTATTAATTTAATTTGAATTTAAACAGAGTTGCTAAACGCTTGGCTGATAAATACATCAAGAGAACTGAATATGGGGATTTTATGAACCAAAATACAAATGGTATTTGCACTGCATAGACTCCGATGGATTGTATGACATAGTATTGGTGATTCAATTTGAGAACTTAAGTTACACATTTATCGATGCCGTCAAGAAGTAAAAAACGCTCGATGGAGCTGAAGATGCCTGCAGTTATGCCTTCAGTGGTTAGAAAATATTAGCTTTTCGTAAACATAGATAGAATTTGAAGCCCCAAATATTTTGTTTTTCATACCTTTCACATAGCTGCATATAACGTAATATAAGTAATGAATATTTTAAAGATTTCCTGTATTGTCTAATGCTAGAATATACAATGGACGTAAAATAATTTCTCGAAGTTCAGATGCCTGAGAAACATGTCAACAACAATCAATCCACAAAGAGCTATAAAAGCTTGAAAAATTAAAAACATATTTATGTTTGTAAGTAATCATAAATACCAACAAATCTAAAATTAATTTTAAATATTTTTAATTGATCAAAAATTTGTAATTAATATAAAAATTATATTAAGAAAAATATTTTAAAATGTATATTAGCTATTCAACTTTTTTTCAATATAAACAAAATAGTTTTTAACACAAACAATAATATTTTAATTCCTAAGCAATATTTCAATTCAAAAGAAACCTGGCTTGCAGTAGAATATATGGTGCACAGTCGTGAAGTCAACTTAAAACTAAATTTCATCAAAAGGGACTTAAAGGCTCGTCCGCACGTCTATGAAGTCTTTACTTGAATAATACTTGATTGTAGTGCAATGGATGACTAAAATTAATATTTAACCTAAGTTAATTAATAATTTTGTAATGTTATCTGGTTAGTTAGAAAGTTACATGCGATCACGACAAATTTCATGAATCAACAGAAATTAAGCTCTGATGCTCTAGATATAATAACAAAAACATCACTAATGAAAACAGAGCGTGTTGATTGCGAGCAAGATAACAAAACTTTTCAAATATATAACACATTTTAAATAGATTCAATAAACAGCTATATAACTCACTGCAAAGTTCGCATGGCTGCAGTGTCGAAAGAAAATCAAAGCTAAATACAATGTTCAATCGTACGAAGGATGCATTTGCTGCAATATTGTTTGCCCTTTTACTCGCTTGTGTGCAGGTGAAATCGATTTGTCATTATGTTAGTATCTTATTAATATATTTGGCTACTCAGAGTTTTGCAGAAGATGAAATGGATGAGATGGTAACAAAGTGTTTGGCCGACAACGAGATCGAGAGGGTTGAGTATGAAAGTTTATTGAGCCAAAACAACTCGGATATAGATATGGATAACATTGACATGAAATACAAGTGCTACCTGCACTGCATGGCCACGGAAATGGACATTCTAGACTCGAATGGATATGTGGACATAGAGCTGATCAGCGAGCATGAGGAGCTCACACCGAAGGATCGCGAGGTCTTTGTAGAGTGCAAGAGAATCCACGATGGAGGCGAAGACTTCTGCGAATACGCCTTCAATATCACAATGTGCCTGTTTGAGAATCTCGAGTCTTGAAATCAACACAAGCTGATTGAGTCTTTGGCTCTGCGGTCGCTGCAAATAAAGATATTCTTATAAACATATTTGATATTCCGCTGGCGTGCTCCAATTATCATCTTGTTACTGTTTGATTGCTTCAGGCTGCAGAGTTTTTGCTGCTGTGCTCTTGTACAACTTCCGTCGATTTACGAAATAATAATTGCTCCATTCCCGTAACCAGCTGCAGCGAGCTGCGACGACCAAAGAAACAGGCAGCGGCCACACCTCATCATGTCGTTGTGAGGGGTGGGCAGGGCTGCATAGAGAAGTCGTGTAGCGTTCACAATGTGCTTCCGCCTCGCTGTTGTTTTGCATGTTGACATGGCGCGAGAAACGTGGCAGACGCGGCCGCGTTACTCATACGACGCGTGGGCGCGGGCGTGTTGACAATACATGACCATATTTTTCTTTTTCCCGCTAATGTGGCACGCCCCACACACGTAAACACCCATGCATACACGCACACACACACACACACACATGTATGCAAAGCGCGTAAAGTTGAAATGACAATCGAAAGCCGGGCTAACAATAGCAGCCAGAGGCAAAACCGGAGCCAGTCAAGTGTGTGGGTGTTGCTGCTGCTGCTGCTGCTGCAGCTGTGCGCCTTTTCTTTTCACATAACAACAACAGCAGCAACAATGCATCGTGACAACTTCCGTTGCATGCGCTGCTGGCATAAAGAAAAACAGCGTAAAACTGTAACGGAATTGCATTGTGAAAAGCAAAATGTTTTTTCCTGGCACACACGGCAAACAACAACTGCAACAGCAACAGCAACAGCAACTGTAGCAACAACAACAGACCAACGAACGTAATACATTTGTACTGAAAAGGCCTTCGGCTGTTATCAGCAATCATCTATTATTATTTTATGACACATATACAACTATATTTATCCATATACACATACATATGCATGTATATGTATGTATATGTATGTTAATTCTAACTATGCTGATTACTGTGTGTGCATATAGTTATCGCAAATCAATTAAATCGGCACGCCAATGCAATTAATTTGATTCATACGCCCCGTGGTACGCAGGCCAATTTTATTTAATTATGCAAATCAGCCAAATGTGGCCGGCTTATTAATTTATTGCATTTGACAGTATTTTTTATTAAATATCCACAATTAAATTTATTATCTTTAGAATGTGCAAAAACTACATTGTTGGAAAAAAAAAAAACAGATAAAATAAAACAAAATCATTTTATTCATAAAAATCGATTGCATTAGTTTTGTTTCTGTCGCGTCTCAGCAAATTATTGTTTGCCTGGCATTATATTAAGGTACTCCACTATACGATAGTTTTTGATATAACATACCAACATTTGAAAGGCATAAGCACACTTGTCCTCGACCTGGCTAATCACGCGATGGCATTCCTCGATAACTTCCGCATTCTCCTCCTGCAAGTGCTCCATCTGCTTGAACACCTCAATGTCCAATTGCTCGTTGGCGTCAAGAATCTCCAGCTCGGCTGCTGCGCAGTGCACATAGCACATGTAATTCATTTCGATATTTTCGAAATGTCCCTCAGTTTTTGCTTGATCAATCTTGGCATATAAATCCATTCGGGTTGTGTTATTTTCAGTCAGGCATTTGTCTTCCACTTCCATGGGCACAAGCAAACTCTATAAGGATAATTATCAAACGGATATTCGCTTATGTGTTTCAAATTATTTACATGTCCAAAAGCCATCAGAGAGATAAGAGGTATAATAATTTTAATGCAAGACAGCATTTTCGATTGTTGTCTCTTTTAGTAGATATTTCCTTTAAATTTGATTTCAGCCTCAACGCTAAACTGTTGATGGAAACTCTTTGCTTGCTTATATATAGACTTTCTCTGCTGCCCAGTTTTCTACTATCGCAACTTCTTTTATTCGACTTAATAAGCCTGGTTTCGAATTAGAGCTACACAATTCATTACAACTTCATTAGTAAACAAGTCAATTAAATCACTAATTGTTAAATTATCTTATATTTAACTAACTAATTTAACTATCTATCTCTACCTAAATATATTTATTTATTTCTATTCATATTTTTTACAAATCTCAAAGCCCCAACAATGGTATTTATTTACAAAGCTAGAGCTATATAATTTTAGACAAACAACAAATTTCACATAATGCAAATCATTTGCTTTATATAACAATTAGAATAACAATTTCAATGCATTTTCCACCACATGATACGCTATTTAATATATTTAATTATTCGTACAATAATGAAATGCAATTTTATTCATATCTAATATCAAAGAAACTTAAAAGTAATATAGACAAAATTAAAAATTAAATTTAATTAACAATATTTTTTGTTTGATTTTATCGGAAATATGACACAAAACCATTGAAATGGAAAATCAGGGTATAATTTATTTTTATATTTTTCGTATTTAATATATAAATAATTTCTAGATTTAAAGAAATATATTGAATACATTTTTAATAAAAATATAAAATGTAATAAACACGTATATTAAATATATTTTTAATATCAAATATATTTAAATAATTGAAAATGTAATTTGATTCATACAACTTGACATTTGTAAAATTATCATAAAAATAAATAAATTAGTTGCTTACAAAATAGTTAAATTATCTTATATAATATTATCATATACAAATATAATTATATTTTGCATGCAACTCCAACCTCGAGTTGCATTGAATTACGGTTTACAGTTTTTTTTTATTTTTCACAAACGAGAAATTAAATTCAGCCGGAAAAACATGCACTGCTCAACACACTTCGGCAACTGTCAATAAAGTACTTGGCAAGTCTTGAAAAAAAAAGGAAAAGTAGTACACAAAAAAAAGGGAGCCGAAGAAAAAGTCTTTTTGAGCAGTGTCCTCGCAGCCGAATTGAACAAGCGCCTTTGCTTATGCCACAGTTGCAGCTCTGCTGCTGATGCTGCTGCTGCTGCTGCTCCTGCTGTTGCTGATGCTGCAGCTTCGAGTGTGCTTATCAAGAGACACATGAGGCACTGACATGCACTCAAAAGGAAAGGTAAGTGGCGCCACGAGGAAAGAGTAGAGTAGAGGATAGACAGCACTGGCTGGAGATGACGAGGCGACGATGCGACGAGGCGACGAAGCGAAGCGCGTAAGTTTGCAATTTTTCTGCTGCATTTTCTTTGGGAAACTCGCGCAAGTTCTGCATATGACTGCGGGCACGTCCCTGCTGGTGTGCGTCTCTGTGCTCGCCACTGCATGGGTGTGGGTGTGTAAGTTGATTTATGCCATTTTGTACACATGTGCGTGAGTATCTCCCGCGCTCTTTCTCTTTTTGTGTGTGTGAGAGAGAGAGAGGGAGAGTGTGTGTAAGTGCAAGGCTGCTGCATAAATGATTTATTGCTATTCCCGCGACAGTTTCGTTTCGCTTTCGTTTGCAACTGCTGTGTGTATGAGTGTGCATATGTTACACACACACACACACACACACACACACACACACACACACACACACACACA